GCTGCGCCACCAGGGAGGGCCAATAACTAAATCTTATTAAAAACAACAACAACAAACACTACCTGCATGTCCACGGTTCTCTTCCTTGGCATTATCTCTTTCTTTGCTAGAAAGTGTTTATGTGGCAGCAGACCTCGCCTATCCCTCTTGCTGCCCCCACCCCCAGCAGTATATTTCAGTAGATCTGCCTATTCGGCTCCCCTCTCCTGTCTCTGGTGAATCCTCTAATGCCCCCGCCTCTGCACCTCTGGCCTACACCCCAGTTCTTCTGCACAAAAATTAAAAAAAAAAAGTTTTTCATACTATAATACATTAATATTAATCCAACTGAAGGGCATCGCTGTAGTACATGATAACGACGTGGTGTGGCTCTAGGAAACCAACTGATGGCAACAAAGGGGAAAAATCCCAAAAGAGGGGCAGATTTTGGTGCAGCCATGAGCATGTGGGAGACTTCTGGAAAATGACAAAACCCATGCTGTGCATAGCTGTGCCCAGCAGACACTCCTAAGTTCACTAGTGCTGCTGTTCCAGCGTGGTTTGAGTTAGATTTGCTAGGCTTCGTGGCCCAGAATCAGTGTTCAGAACCTTTCTGTTATAGAAATTCTCCCTGTGAATCAAGATACCTTGAGACAAATGTGTTCATTTTATTAGGCACTTAACCTCTCTGAAGAGCCCATAATCCCTTAGGTGATGCAGCTTCATCATGAGTCATTGGTGTTGGGTCATCTGGCGAAATGATCTGCGGGAATGAAATGAGAAAGTTAATTGGCTCAGCTGGAAAGCCGGGCCTGCGGGCAAGGGCCCTGGCCTCCAGTAGGCAAGGAGCCAGGAGAGGTGGTAGTGAAGGTACAAGACCTGGGCTCTTTCTTTTCACTGTGGAGCCATTGTTTCCCCAGCAACTGTGAAGTGGCTCTTTCTTTCCTCTGGAGGGCTAGAGACCCCAAACTCTGTGTGAACAGCCTGGGAGGAGCTGCTGGAGCTGTGCATGACTTACGTCCTGTATGCTGCTCACATGTGTTGACATGCGCTCTGTGCCAGGCGTTTCTAGATTTATCCAGTCATTAATTCAGTCTTCACAAACAGCGTTAGGGGAAGAGGACTTTGTTATAATCACCATTTTTCAAGTGAGGTGATAGTGATAGAGGCTTAGGGAGGGAGATGAGGAGTCTCAGAGAGCTCTGCGGCAGACCAAGTGTTCCAGCCTCTGGTATGCTGATGCCAAAGATGGAAGAGGGGAGGGGTGGACTTCTGAATAGGCTGGGTGCCAAGCTTGCCATGAACACTACTCCCGTGTCGCTCTCTAACCTTTTGTGCACCAATGTCGTCCCGTGAGAGGGTGATTGTGCTGTTTATGTCATAGTCATAGGAAGATAAACTGATGTTTATTAAGCCTACAGTTGACAACTCAATACACTGTCATTGATGTGACTCTTTTCTATTTAAGACAGTGTGTGTGTGTGTGTGTGTGTGTGTGTGTCCCAATCTCCTGGTATAGTGACTTACAAAAAATGCTATTTCATATAAATTGGTGCAGCCATTATGGAAATCAGTATGGCAATTGCTCGACAAATTTAAAAATAAATATTCTATACAACCTAGTTATCCTACTTTTTGGTTTTTACTAGGAAAATACAGAAGTACTAATTTGGAAAGCTATATGCAACCCTGTATTCTTCACTACATTGTTTTCAATCACCAAAAGTTGGAAACAATTTAATAACCCATCAAGCAGATAAAGAAGATGTGGTATACATACCAAAATAGAAACTACTCAGCTATAGAAAAGGCAAAATCCTGCCATTTGTAACAATGTAGATGGACTTTGAGGATATTATGCTTTGTGAAATAAGTCATATGGAGAACAATAAACACCCTACCATTTCCCTCATTTGTGTACATAGTAAAATAAACACATGATTAAAACAAAAATAAACTTTTAGACTATAAGATGAAATTAGTGGTGACCAGAAGGGAAGGGGGAAGGTAAGATTAATCAGGTATAATCATTGTCAGTTGTATGGTGAAGGATAGATTGGACTTTAGTGGTTAACTTAACATAGCATATACAGAGATTGATTTATGTGATCCATACCTGGATCTTAGATAATATTATAATGTAATATCACTTCAATAAAAAGTTTTGCAAAGGAATATAAAATAAAAAACCAGACAAGTAAAAAAAAAATGACACTCTGCCTTAAAAAAAAAAAAAGCCTTGTAGACACCATGTTTGCTAGAAAACAGTTTATTAACATTTTGTCATTAACATACTGAAAATCAGCAGTGAACTCTTAAAGTAACATATAAGAGCCAACATTATAATCAAGGGGTTCTGGTAAAGAGCTGTTCCCTCTTATTCTCACCGTATGAAAGAGAAAGCTTCAGAATGTCGTACTTTTATCCCTAATGTCAGATCATTAGATGTCTGGGAGAAATTTCACGGATACTGTTTCCTAAGATCTGGGTCATGCTTTGTATTTTTCCAGAACACTCTCATGTGCTCTGTCATCTTTCCTTCTCTTAACACCCTGACAACCTATGTATATCAACTTGGCTCACCACCCCCCAACAAGCAAACCAACTGCCAAGAACCCAAGCTGCCCAGCTGAGTGCCAGAGACTGTTTCCACCATAACACCATGTCCAACAGGTCCCTGAACCAGTGGTTCAAGTCCAAGTCTCTGCATCATGTTTCAGCCTCCCAATCAGCCAGAGTCTATCTTTCATTTTCAAATAATAAGTCACCCAGGGAATTTGTTGTATATTCAATCTCAAATGCAGAACACCAGGCTGGTAAGTGGCTGAGCCGGTATTTGAAGTGAGATCTATTGGACTTCAAAGCCTGGGCTCTTTTCATGTCCTCCAGTTTCTAGAGCTGTATTCTCTTGACGACATCCTGTGGAACACTGTGTTCTTTAAGATAATAATAGGCGCTGCCTCTAAGAATGTCAAATAATGTTTGGAGACTCTGGCATTAAAAACTTAAACAAGCTTATGCTTCTTGAGTGGACTGTTTAGGTCACAAATCTCTGAAAGACTTTGTCTATTCCACTTCCCATATCTTTTCGAACACAGGATGTCTATTTTTATGAGGTGACTGCTAATAAACCTCAAGAATATTTTATAGACTACTATTCTGCGCTATTTGGGGGCAAACTCAAAGTAAAGTATAGTGTCACTTTAGAAGAATAATTCATTGCTGGCCCTCCCTGGTGGCTCAGCGAGTTAAAGCACTGCACTGAGAGGCTTAAGCCACTTCCGCATGAGTTCGATCCCTGCCTGCCCCCGAGGTGACCACATGGCGTGGCAGACCTCTCCTGACCCGCCTGCTGCTCCCCTCAGCAGTGTGCTTCGTTGATCTGCCTGTTCTGCTCCTCACTCTGTCTCTGGTGAATCCTCTCACCCTCCGCATCTCTGGCCTGTACCCCAGTTCTGTATGAATAAAATAAATAAATCTTTAAAAAAAATAATTAATTGCTGAAAAAGATGGTAGGGAGAGCTTTCTTAAGTCAACGTATAATTTCCATTAGTTGAATGGGGGAAAAAAGTGTTTCTGCATTCCATATTTAACCCTTTTATGTTTAAAAAATTAAATGATATATATATTAATTAAATTATATTAAGGATAAATTTATTCTATTGAATGTTACACATCAGAGCATAACTTTGAAAAGAAATTGTCATTTTCAACTCTGTTTGCTGAATGGAGAGAAGTGCCTTTTTTCCTTTTCCTCTTGTGAAATACTCTTACCTGAGATCCTGAAAACTACCCACCCTTCTCTGCACTTAACCATCCTAAGAACTCACCTCCCGTGGCTTCTGCTATTCTGAGACATTTTCCCTGATAGCCCATCTTCCCTACAAGGTTCCATTTTGGTCCAAAATACTGGTGCCTCTTCTCTCCATCTGTCCCCAGATACCCTCTTGCTGTGGCTTCCCATTCAGCCTTGCTGAGAGCTTTCAGGTCTTCACCTGCCGTCTCTTTCATGAGCTCCCAGTTAACACCTCCATCTTGACTCCATCTTGACATGTGTTATTGACTCCAATGCACTATGTCCAAAGCAAAACTTCTTAACTTCTTTGGCAGCTTCAACTTGAGACCCTGCTCCTCTTTTTTGCCTTCTGCGATTGGTCAGTAGCCTGATGATTAATAGTGCACTCTGAGGACTGGGGTGTCATCTCTGTCACCTCCCTGCCCCGTACAATCAATCCATAGCCTAACTTGGCTCACTCTGCATTCACCGTGAAGACACTCACAGTGCTTCTCCTGCCTCCCTTCATCACCCAGATTCTTCCAGACCCGTGGCTGAGAGTTTTCCCAATGGGGCTCCCCACCCTGTCATCCAGAGCTGCTCTATAGCTGTGCTGCTCAACTGCAAATGGACTTCTATCTTCCTGCCAACTTTTCATTCACTAGTAGACAGCATGAGAGAAAATAAATTATATTTGTCTGTGTATATATTTGCACATCTCTAAAGTGCCTACTTCAGTGTCTCACATGTCACAGGTGCACACAAAATGGGGTTCATGCGACTATCACTGACTATCACTTGCAAAACTGACTTGGGGAGACTTTAATGGACTGTGAGTTATTTCACTTACCACATGGGACATCAAAATATAGGCACAGAGCCATCAACTTTACTGATTTGAATTTTATCTACCAGTGGATTAAAGTTCATAAGATATACAGATTAGGGAATAAAGGATGAAATTAGGAAATAAATAACGATTGTTCTGTTGGCTTCTTGGATCATGGAGAACTTAATTTTATCAGTCGTTTGAGACATAGTTCAGATCCTGCCCACTGCAGGGGGAATATGGAGGAGGAGAGGCACACCCCTCTTTGGATCCCTCTTAACTCCTCACGCAATAGCCCCACCCTCTTTTTTTGGCTGGCAACATTAATCCAAACAGATTTTTTGGTATCTTCATTGTGCGGGGCTCTGTGCTGGGCACAGTGGGTACATAAGCCAGGGAAATCGCAAGTAAGCAGGACTAAGGATTGGAGTCCTAGTGGAATGGATAGTAAGACGTGGGAGTCAGAAAGAATTATTCTAGAGAAGTCATATTTAATCAAGACTACTCTACAGAGGTTGGGCCAAGTAGGAGTTAGGGGAGAGAATATTCTAGGCTGCGAGTGCAGTAAGTGCAGATTCCAGGGGAGGATAGAAGCTTTGCACTTTCTGGGAACAGAATGAGTGCTGGGGAGCTGGGACTTAATGTGAAGGATAGCAGAAGAGTTAAGAGAGATAAGTCTCTCTTAGGCTACAAAATTTGCATTTCATTCTGTTTCAGAGGGGAACCAGCAGGACTTAAACAGAGGAGCCATATGAGTTTAATCACAATTTTAGAAGCACACCCTGGCTTCTGTGCAGAGAGTGGAGCACAGGAGGCAGGGACAGAGCCAGGAGGGGAGGGTGAGGCAGGGTCCAGGAGAGACAAGAGGGAGGCTGGGCAGATGGTAGAAGCTGCTGAGTCCAGCACATTGTGTTATCTGAGCATCTCTGACCTTTCATCACACTTAATCTTAGGGGACCCACTTGCCTGAAGAGCATACCCATAAAAGTCACCTGACAATTATTCTAACATGTAAACCAGGAGAGAACCCTGAGATCCCTCACATGGCTCATGTGCCAAGGAGAAGACTTTCTACCCTTCCTATTAACTGTATTTTTAGTTAAGAGGTTTTTCATACTCTTAAACAAAAAAATTACAGTATATGAGCATTGACCCTTAAAAATTGGCTTTTGTCTACCAAAACTAAAGGAATATGCTGCTCATTTTCTTGCACTTATATGTAGGAGACCCCTGTGCACGTCATGAGTTTCCCTCCTGCTTGAGATCTCAAAGATTAGACAAATTTCTTTGAAGAAGCAGCAGTCACACACAACTTAGTGTTAAAATCAGAGTGGTGAGGCCCTCCCTGGTGTGCAGCGGGTTAAAGCACTGCACTGAGAAGGTAAAGCCACTTCCGCATGAGTTCGATCCCTGCCTGCCCCAGAGGTGACCACATGGCCCCGCAGACCTCTCCTCTCCTGACCGGCCCGCTGCTCCCCTCAGCAGTGTACTTTGTCGATCTGCCTGTTCTGCTCCCCACTCTGTCTCTGGTGAAGCCTCTCACCCTCTGCATCTGTGGCCTGTACCCCAGTTCTGTATGAATAAATAAATAAATCTTAAAAAAAAATCAGAGTGGTGATAGATATGAAAATACTTTCAGGAGTCATTTCCATTCTATTCCCCCAAAGAGGATTCCCAGGCCTCTAGAACTTTCCTTGGTGTGCTGAGTAAATATGCACTCAAAGAACTGTCAGAGAGAGTGGTCATTATTTGGTACTTACTGGACAGGGGGACAGTCGCTTAGAATGCCGTTTAGATTTAACATGTCCTCTTCTTCCCTCTTTCCTACCTCACTGGCTATAGGTTCTCTTAGCCCTAGATGCAACAGCTCTGGTCGGTGCAGCTGTAAACCAGGCGTGACAGGAGACCAGTGTGACCGATGCCAGCCCGGCTTCCACACCCTGACCGACACTGGGTGCTCCCACGACCACAGGCTTCTGTAAGCACCTCTACCCACCACTGCTGCGTCTTGTGAGTGGCAGCAATTAGGTTGACATGAGTGACCCTGTGTCTGGGCTCCCTCTGTGTGCCGAGCTCTGTTGGAAGGACTTTGTGGGGGTTACCTTCACAATAACCTAAGGAGATGGGCTTAGCAGGATGCTCGTGTTAAAGATAAGAAACACAGGCCACAAGAGCTTAAGTACCCCCCAGTGTGGATAAGAGTGGACCTACTCTTACTAGTGAGGGTGGGCCTAGTATTCAAGCGAGAGTTTTGGCTCTGGAAACATGTTCTTCACCCTGACTACCCACACCCCCACCCTCACTCTTTAGATGAACTAGGTTAAGAGGCCTGCAGATTCAAACCTGGGTCCTCTTCAACCTTATTGAATTTGGGATAGGAGAACTTTTCTGGCTAGTTTTAGCTCCCTTTGGTTTGAAGCATCCTTCTAGCCTTCTTCAAATTCTTTTTCAGAAGAGGGTGGAATATAAATCACATGAGCACTCTGCAGAAAGGTAGTGGCGCGTGGGCCCTGGAGGCACCGAGGAGGGGGAGCTGGAAGACGAACCAAGGGGCCTCAGCCAGGCCCCCTTCTCCAGGCCCTTGCCCAGCCACGCTTGCCCTGTCAGTTATCCTCAGGACCAAGGTCTCTGGCCCTCCAACCTGCGCGATGATTGCTCATCTCTATCTTTCCCTGCCCCCTTTCAGGTGGTCTTCAATTTAAACCCTCCCTGGGCCCAGCCACCTTTTGTGCCCTTTAAAATGAAACAGAGTCTATTACTGCTCTGCTCACAACTTAATTTAGTCCTGTTTTCTACTCAGAATGAGCCGCAACTGCTTACTCAGGCTAGCGGAGCATCCTCTCGCCATCACACCCTCAGCTGCAGCTCCGCGACAGCTCGGCACTCTCCCCAGCTCCCTGAACCCCCAACAACAACCTGCCTTCCCTTCTTTGAAGGCACGGAGCCTGCATGATGTTGTCTTGGGCTGGGCCCTTGTCCTGGCAGCTGAGCCAGGCGGAGCATCATGGCTCCGTCCCCCTCAGGCACCAGAGGTCTCCCCTGGGCAGTGCCCATCTCCCCACGCCTGGGCACCATTGGTGTACTCCCCATGTCTTCCTTTCTGCACGCATTTGTTTGTTTCCACTGCATGCCGAGAAGCCCCCTTCTGCTTGGTCTTGTTTGTGGCTAAATCCCCAGTGCCCAGTGTGGGCAGAAGCACGTAGGGGTGTTCGTGCTTCGTTTCCACTTCAGCCATTATTGCCATCGTGTCCACTTCTCTTCTTCCCTTGAGGTACCCAGACAGGGGTTCCTCCTCATTCTCCTGGCCTCAATTTTAGCAGCTAGGACATGCTGAATCCAAGTCATCAGAGGACCAGATAGTGTATAGAGAGGCCAAGACAGGGGAGGAGAACTGGGGAATTGAAAGATGGACACAAGGGAAGAATCTTCAGAAAGCCTGAAGGATGTAAGTGCATGATGAGTGGGAGTGAGAGGGAGGAGCTCAGTCCAGGTTTCGGCAGGACGGGATAGGGGCATGGAGCAGTCAGGGGGTGTCAACACACATGACTCTAGACCCATGAGGTGGCAACATAGGTTTGCACGCCCAGCCGAGCAGCAAGTCTAGTGCTTCTCAAAGAGCAGCCTGCACGTGGTGAGGAGATTATGCTGAGTTAGACAAAAGCACTGATTCCTGCATTCAGAAAGTCTGCTACAAAAAACAAAAAATATCAGCCAAACTCAGAAGTTCAATTGGTAGCAGACACTCAACCTGAAAACCTCTATGTCTGCACAAAAAGATGTCCTGACATCTTCCTAGCAGTGACATTATTCCTAGCAGTTAAAAAGTGGAAACGGGCCCTCCCTGGTGGCGCAGTGGGTTAAAGCACAGCACAAAGAAGCTTAAGCCGCTTCCACATGAGTTTGATCCCCGCCTGCCCCGGAGGTGACCACATGGCGTGGCAGACCTCTGCTGACCCGCCCGCTGCTCCCCTCAGCAGTGTACTTCGTCGATCTGCCTGTTCTGCTCCCCACTCTGTCCCTGGTGAATCCTCTCACCACCCCTGTACCTCTGGCCTGTACCCCAGTTCTGTACGCATAAATAAATAAATCTAAAAAAAAAAATTACTTTAAGAAAAGAAAAAGGTGGAAACGACCTGATTGTCCACCTGCTGGTGAGTGGAGAAACAGAATATGGAATTTTATTTTGCTATAAGAGGAAGAAAATTCTAATGCATACTCCAACATGAATGAACCCTGAAAACACACTAAGAGAAAGAAGCCAACCACAGACATCATGTATGATGCCGTGTCTCAGGAAAGCTGCACAAAAGCGAATCAGTGGAGACTGACTAGGGCTGGGATGAGGGCAACGGGTATAACTGCTAGCGGACACAGAGTTTCGGAAATGCTAAAAATGCTCGAAAATTGATTGTGGTAATGGTTGTACAAGTCTGAAATGCTACTGAAAACCACTGAATCGTGTCTGTCAAATGGGTAAATGGCCTGGCCTGTCAATGGGATCCCAGGAGAAGCGCTTCCAAAACAAAACAGACCACGATAAAACAGACATCAATGAATTAAATAACAAGACAACTGGTAACTTTTAAAAGAATGTCAACCCAGCCAGTCAAACAGACTGAAGTAAACAGCTCAGTAATACACTTGGTTTACTTTCTGGAGCAAACCGCTCCTGTCTTGAGGAGCACACAGTTCACGGCCTGGCCACCGGCCACAAACCACACTGAGTGGTGCCTAGACAGAGGAGGCCACGAGGTCTGAGACATTCGCCCAGGCCAGGCCCGCTGAGAGAATCCTGCTGGAGGCGGGAGATGGGCTCCAGCAGCTGACATCGGCTGATGGGTGGTTGGTCTTTCTGTGTAGCATTCCAGAACACTTGGAAACACACCCCTAATTTCTTTCTCTCCTTTCCCAGAGACACCAGATGTGACTGTGACCCAGCTGGCATCAAGGGGCCCTGCGACTCAGGCCGCTGTGTCTGCAAGTCTGGCGTCACAGGAGAGCGCTGTGACAGGTCTGTGTGTACTGTACTGTGCCCCCGCGAGCAATGCAGGGGTCCCCTTGGGCGCCAGCCTGAGAATTCATCCTCAGCACACTGACAGAAAGAGACTGACAAATGCTGACGCCTTCTTCTTGCCTCCTATCCTTAAAACCAGGCTTTTGGGGTTCTTTATTTTGGCACAACGGAGGCTCCCAGGCTTACTGACTTATCTGCAGGCCCCTTCTCTTAGTTCACACAAGGCAGAGACGCGGGGCCCCGGGGAGGACTCCCCTCACCAGCTGACTGGGAGTCCTGAGTGTGCCATACTAGGTGGAGTGCAGTAATGAGGTTATGTGGCCCACACTGCTCTCAGGACAATCTCGGCCTAGTTAAACATCTCAGAGAAAATGCTGTAAGAGGAAGCGTGCAGGGGATGGTCCTTAGTAACATGGTGCCCAGAAAAGGAGCCACGCAGGTGGTCCCATGGACACCTGCCACCCAGGAGGATGAGGGAGCCCTGTGGACCCCAAGCCATAGACCACTGACCCTCCCCTCCCCCTGGGTAGCCTCCGTCCTACAGTTAGATTTCTAGGTTTGTTCTCTGGCACAAATCATGCTCAGACCTACAGTTCTTCCTGCCTCAGGCTGTCGTGGGCCTAGAGCTGTGAGGGAGTCCAGAGATCAAGGCTTCCTCCCCACTTCCTTCAGTAAGAAAGCAGCCCTTTGGCATCCTGCCAATCACTCATACCTGGGCAGAGAAAGGCCCAACATAATCCCAGCCGTGTTCCCAGGGAGCTCTTTGCTGGTGAGGTGTGGTGGGAACAGAGCTTAAGGGTTACAAGAAGAGTCACTTTTTAAAAAATGTTTTTAGTTTCAAAACATAGCAGCCCTAGAAGATGAATAAAACAAATGTCACCACTAATTATATGACATTGACCTTTGCTAAAAATACCCCTCTCTCCTCCCTAGAAGTGAGCACTCTTCTGCCTTCCATGGAAATAGCTTCCTTGCTTTTCTTCGTAATTCATTGCCCAAGTGTAGCTCCAAGCTTGATGTCTTCATCCTTTAGTTTATCCAAATTCTTTCCCTGCCCCTCCCCTCCCACCCCGTCCTTCCCCTTCCCTCCTCTCAACCCTTTCTGTGCCCTGACCCCTCTGTGCATCCATCTCCTTCCTTCCCCTCCC